GAAACAGCCCATTTGCCTATCAAATGGATAAAGAAGATGTGTTTTTTCTATAAAATGGAATACTACTCAGCCATAAAGAATGAGAAATTAGATTAATTCATAGGAAAATGGATGCATATTGAGGATATACTCTTAAGTGAAATAAATAAGTCACACATGTGTAAATATGAAATAGTTTCTCTGGTGTGAAAAACTATAATAGTACATAAGAACCTAATGGTATAATTGACCATGTGAAATAGGAAGAAAAGGGCTAAAGGTGTAGGGAGAGTGGGAAGGGTAGGGGAAAGGTAATAAGGGAAAAGAAAAATATGAAAAAATGAAAAGTGGAAATAAAATGTTTGTAAATGGGGAGGGGAGGAGGGGGTGAAGGGAGGACAGGGACAAGGGGAAAATTTGAGAACCAAGACCTGTCATGCAAAGGTACAAGATCCCAATGATGAATGTAACTGTACTGTATACCTAAAATGTACCAATAAACTCAATTTAAAAAAAGTAAGTGGAATTGTTAGCAGCCTGAGAAAACTAGAGTAGAAACTATGAGGAACAAGTCCTGCTCAACTACACTGGGATCTCTGAGATCAGAGGATAGTCAGAGTTTTGAGAAGGGGATGTTGGATAGCTGGTGCTGAGGGTCTGGAGGCAGAGAGATGAGGCTGATTTTGAGAACAGTGGGGGAAAATAAAAACTGGTGTCAAATCCTACAAATGAATCAAAATGAAAATGGTTTTCAGAGTCCAGCCCCACATTGCAGAGCAGAGACTGATGGTTTAGAACTGAGAGACCATCACTTAACATCCATCACAGCTTGTTTGGTGGCTGTTTGACTTTCACACACTCCCTGCTCATGAGTTTGGACTCCCAAGAACTCCATGCTTCAATTTAACAAGATGCAACCTCTTTTTAAAAAATGAAGACATTGCTATCCTCTTCCCCGAAATAGGAGACACAATGTCCTGACAATCATTGTTGCCATCTCTAGGAAACAGTCCACCATTTTAATCTCTGCACTGGGCTCATTATTCCTCAAATCTAGCCACAGTCCCATTTTAATATGGTGTTACTTAGAACTGACTGTTCAAAGTACTAAAGAGAAAGAGAAAAAATGAAGTGTGTTAATAAACATGCACGCACTCATCCACACATGCAATGAACATATGAGAAAGTTTATGTAGCTTCTACAGGGGCTCCTTTGTAAAACTTCCCATAAGGCTGTGGTATCTTCTTCCTCCACTGCCCATTCTGTCCTTAGTCCTCACCCATGCCTCAACACAGCTTGCTGAGGTTCTCTATAAGTGATTCGAGCATCCATTCCTAGGGAGTCTAAATCATTAGTGGACCTGCATTTTTTAAAAATTACTGTAGTTTTTCCTTCATTTTTATCATAAGATAGGGAGACACTGTGAAGTAGCACAGAGAATCCCTTGAGCTCCAGACAGGCCTTTTCTTTTTTGGTACCAGGGATGGAACTCTAGACCTTGTCTCAGACAGGCCTCTTTGACCTTCACTGTGTGGTAATAACCCAGTATCCTCTAGGTGATTCATTACATGATCTACCATGGCCAGAGGTTTAGCCCACTCCTTTTCCATTTGGCTCAGTGGCACAAGGTCCCAGGTGGTCAGGTAGAAGTTTTGTCTTCCAGTCCACAGGATGGCTGTTGGGACCATGATGGCAACATTCTTCCCTTCCAAACAAATTATCCTAGAAGTGTTCAAATTCAAGGAAGAGGAAGTCATTAGGAATAATAGTGAGATTTCTGACCCGGTAGAACTGGCTAAGGGAACAACAGCACTATCTGATCAAACCCAGAGAACTAACCAGTTAGCATAAGTGGACTGTGCAAGTTGAGTCCAATACGGTTATTTTACTCCCTAGTTATATGGATGTCCCTTCCCCCGTGTATAATTTAATCAGCTTCACCCAGAAAAGCTTGCTAACAATACAACTTCTTGAATCACAGCTATCTGCATAAGAAACTACAAGCCTCAGCCTCTCTAAATCTGTTCACCCCTTCCAAGACACCTGAGCCATCCCTCTGCCATCTTCTCTCAGCAGCCAGTCTCACATGTCTCTGCAGAGAGGAGACGTCCCTGATCTGCAACATAGTACTTTCCAGCAACACGTGAAGGCTGTCTTCCTGGTGCTCTGAGCTGCTGAATGGTGGATACAACACATCACGCTGAGTCAACCCCATGTCATTTCATAACTACCTGTGAGTGAGGCAAGACATCAGGCACTTCTGCAAGTCATGTGTCCTGTCATGCCACCTGACATGTATAGCCATCTCCTGGGGAAGGTCCCTGCTCTGTGCTCCTCCCCCACCCTGGTCCATCACGTTCCTCCCATTGACTCCATGTTTCAAAGACCACATATGAAGGGTGACAGCAAAACAAGGACATGGTTTTCTATGCTGATTATAACACCATGTTATTACTTTATAGTCATATCTCACCACTTAGGTCTTCATGTTTGGTCTTGGTGAAAATAAAAACAAAGCCCCCCAAAAAGCCAAGAACTGATGGGGGTGGGGCAGTGGACACAGCGCTCCTCTCTCAGGAGACAGGACATTAACCATTGCTTGATTTTCCTTTTCCTTCATTTGAAACAAATACACATGGCATCTTACTGGATCAAAGCGTACTTTTGTCCTACTGGCTGCTGGATTGGTTGAAAAGGTGGGAACACATGTATCTGGTGTATAATCTCTACACTCAAAATAAATAACATGATACACAAAGAAGTACAAGACAACCAGGCTGCTCTCCCCTGGAGTAAGAGAGGGTAAAAATCCTTCATGAGGAAGATCAGAAAATGCAGTGGGAGGGTTTGGCAGTGGGAACAGAAGGGAGAACCACTGTTGAGCATTCAAACATAGTTCTTAAGCTTGCAAAATTTACTGGAGTTCAAATGGAAAAAGACACTGAGCTTCTCTTACTGCTTTTGAAGGAATGTGAGCAGTAAGGGAGAGAGGCATTACTCGTAAAGGTTGTAGCGAGCCAAAACATCTCACCCATGCCAGAAAATGTGCAGGGAAGATGATAGTCATTCTAGCAGAGTCTGAGCCCTTAATATAGTCTCATTCTCTCATAAATAAGTTTTGGAAGAAGGATATGGGTTTCCATTTACTCCCAAAGAAATCTATGATAGCACCATATGCTGACATCTTTAAAGAGAATGAATTTACACATAATGGCCAGAGCCATAGAAAAATGCATGGTGACATCTTCATTGGTTCCTCAGTAGGGACTGCCACTGACAATGTCCCTTACATCTCAGCACTCTAAATAAGCTGAGGTGTCCTGGTGGTTGTGTGAGAAAGGAAAATGGAATGCAACCACATTTCTTATTTATTATTTCAGGCAGAAAATTGTGGTTACAAATATATATATTTAGGACTGACAGGTCAGCCTGACCTAAAGAGTAATGGATTTTTCTAGGCAGCCAGAAGAATCCTTTTGTTTAATCTTTGGAGAAATGAGAGACCACTTATGATGACCCGTCCTCAGCCTTCTTTCTTACCTCCACACCTTATGTCCCTAAGCCAACTAGAATCTTCCTGTGTGTGTTTGCTGTTATGTGTGAGCATTCCCATGTGCTTTGGAGATGCTTGAAATGTTTTGAAAATATGCTGAGGATAAATAATATTTATGGATCTCTGTTTTGTGCTCTCTATTCCATTCTTATTCAGCCCAGATTTGGGCTGCAAGATAAAGCCATCCTCCCCTTGCAAATCAAGGCAAAGTGGGGGCCACCCCCACCTTTGACATTCAGTTTCTTCAGCCCTGGCCAAAGCCACAGTCGTTTTGTGTCCACAGTTCTTACATGGACTTGAAATTAGGAGCTTTCTAGAAAAGAAAAGTTGATAAAAGTCCAGAAGTCATAAAATATCCTGCTGCTGGCATGAATATGCCCTAGGATGTGTTTTTTCCTTGCCTTAGAGTAATTATGCTATGGTACATGGTAGTGACCACTAAGATTGAAAAGGAATCTTTCAAGTTTGTCCTTATCAAAAGGATTGTTTCAAACACCCTGTGTACTCATGAACCTTACTTGTACTTCAATGCTCCTGATTAATTCTGGTTCTTCGGTGGATTTTTCTTTTCTTTATTAAGTGCCTACTATCTATCTGGTGTTATGCTTTCTTTTTGATCTGTTAAATTATGCGTTTTTTAATACCTACAACAAAGCAGGGAACCTCCTAAATAAAAGAGGAGGTGTCCTTTCATTGACTTTTAATGTTTTCAAAACAGAAATAATGACCCTCATCTATCAGTGATCTTACCACACAAACAGTTGCTCACAAGTACGTCATTGCTCCACTGGGGTTGGGTAGGGTGGTTGGTTGTCTCTCAGCTCTGTGAAGGATGCCAAATCCTTGAGGTTGTGCCAAATCTCAACAGATCTCTTCTCCACTTGGAAATGGGGACCTGGTGGTGATCCTGGGTCATCTGTGCCAGTGCACGCCATGTCAAAACAAGGCCAGCTGCAGGCTCCTTCATCAATTGACTTATATTTGCAAATTCTGTTGATGCTTCTCCTTTTATGACTGAATGTGTCTGAATAAATGCCAATCAAGTGACAGGGAGAATAGAAAAGGTACAAGTGTCAAGTTTCTAAATTGTGGCTGCTCAGAGTTCTCACAAGGTGGGTGGCTTAACTTGGGGCATTTCCGTTGAACTGTAACGGAAGAATCCAACAGTCTAACAGAATCCAAACCAAATAGTCATTTTCTATTGGCTCATATATATAATGAAATATTATTTGTTTATAAAAAAGAATGAAATCCTGTCACTAGCAGGACCCTGGATGGAACTAAAGATTGTTATAGTGTTCACTTTGGCAGCACATATGCTAAAGATTATTATAGAAATAAGCCAGGCACATAATAACAAATATTGTACATTCTACTTCATATGTGCAAGCTAAAAAAAAGTTGATCTCAGAAGTAGAAAGTCAAATAATTGCAACAAGAGGCTTAATTCTCATTTTTCCCCCTCAGGTCTACCAAGAGCCAGAGACTCAAACAGAAGTCACACCTGTCTGACTTGCAGGTGGCCTCCTGTGACAAAAAGGAATGACACAATGAGGACAAAAGCCCTGATCTCATTATCAATGGAGGAAATTCTCTTCTCTTCACCATGGCCTCTGACCCTTGTGTCAAGATTCCGTGACTGTCAGCCTTCTCATTACAGGACCATCAACCACAGTCTCCAGGAAGCCCCTGGTCCCTTAATTATCTCGTGACTATTACAACATAGAGAATGTGGGGCCGGGGATTTCGCTCAGTGGTTCCATGACCTGATTCACAAGCTCAAAGTCCCAACTTCGATCCCCGTACCAAAGAAAAAAAAAAAAAAAAGCAACAACAACAACCAAACAAAAAGAACATGGAAATGTCTTATAGAGAACTGATTGAGGCACATCTAAACTATTGCCGGCAGGGAGCTTCCTCATAATCTATTTTTGTTTTTTCCCGAATTAATCCAAATTAGATTTTTTTTAAATTACAGAATTAGGCTCTCTGAGAAGATAAGAAAGGAAGAGAAACCACTGATTCTTAGTAATCCATTACCAATTCCCGGACTCAGGATACCAGTTTGGTTTCCCTATAAAGGGCTTATTGTACCAACAACACCCTTCTTTTCCTTGGGCATCTTTGTGACTATGTAACCAGTGCATAAATCTGTCACTTAGAAAGATTGGAACAGGAGCCAGGCCTGCTCCTACCTCAATCTTTCCTTGACACTAAGAACAGAGTTAAAATGGGGAACTTTTTTTTTCTTTATCTACACATCATGCTCCTAGCAGCCCCTCCTAAGGGTCCTTCTCTCAGTCAAAGTGCTGCAAGAGTGGAGATGTGTACACAGTATTGTTACAATTCTTCCTTTGCCTTGAGAATGGTTGCTTCATGTCAACTGTATTAAAGAGACAAAAACCTTCTGAGTTTAGTACTTGTTCCTTTCATGTGGGGCCAGAGGTAAAGCAAATGCTGTTCAAGCTTGTATCCAACTTTCTTTGCCCAACTGGCTCTTGTAGTCCACACCCTGCACTAGAGGGAGGCTCCATCTTTAACCCAACAGAACCAGGCAGCTCCAGCTCCTCAGCCTGCTATTGGTCTTCAGCCTGTCACAGGACAACACTCAAAATATGTGTTCTGGCCATTCCCTTATCTCCCTTCTTACCATCCAAACTCACCTGTGCCCTTGGTTAACTGGAAGGAGCCACCTGTTTAGAGACCCACAGGAACAGGAACCTTGCGTTGCACTCGTGTTCGGTACAACTCCATACCCCAAAATATATTCTGATTAGGAAATTCCAGACACCTTTGGAGAGAATTTGTTGTATATGGACCCTTTTCTGTACCTCTCACCAGCCACGTCTTTTCTGGGCTGAGTAGTTCCCCCAACTCGGACATTTCCATGCTGAGAAACCCATGGCAATTTGGAAGAGATCTGAAACCTAAAACTTAAAACCAAACACAGACTTACATTGGAATACTGGGCCTGCCTTTTTCTATTTCCCCTAAGCAAATTCCCCCTAGTTTCCTCATTGGGTAAGAAAGTAACTGGATGCACTATATAAAATTCTAAAGAGGAATAAAGTTGTTACCACATACAGTTTTGAGGATTGAGGAATGAGGCAGTTTTAATCAAAATAACTAATACAGAAGATGTAGAATTTAGCAGATAAATGATACAAATGCTGCTGACTGCATTACTTGGAGGGGAAAATTGAGGCCAGTGACTAAGATGATTGACAAGATCAGAATTGCCAAAGTTTCTGGTCCGAATTGTCTCTTCAGGAATTCTCCAGCAGCTCCCTATTTGCTGAACGGCAATGTGTGGGAAGGTTTTTGTGTGGTAAAGAAGATCCCCACACCTGTAAAAGCAGGACCAAGAAGAAAATGGGCTTTGCTCCCTGAAAGGCCCAAGTGATGGCTGAGAAGTCTAGAGGCACAAGAAAGACAGATGTACACAGAGGCCCAGTGTGAGGCAGCTCACTCCTGCAAGTCTGCAGCACATTGGGGTTCAAGAATAAGTGGATGGCATTGTGTCACTTTCCTTTCCTTGCTACAATATTCTAGAATCACACTTTGTATTTTATCTTTGCTGTAGATAACTTCATCATGTAAACTTTATAGGATCAGCTCATCATGTGCAAGGTGGGAGTTAAAATTAATGTTTGTGACACATTATCTTGGCAGAGAAGCCTTAGAAAAATACCAACAGTAATAATAGTCCCCAGTTACACAATGCTTTCTACGTGTCCAACACTGTTCTGAGCATCTGATATACACTTCCTTTCTCACACAAAGCCCTAGTCTCTAGGGAGACCCAACAGCAGGCTGTGGGCTGGAGCTGCCTGGTTCTGTTGGGGTGAAGATGGAGCCTCCCTCTAGTACAGGGTGTGGGTTACAAGGGCCAGTTGGGTAAAGAATTTTGGAGACAAACTTGAATCAAATTTGCTTTACCTCTGGCCCCACAAGGAAGTGCTGAATTTGGGGAAGGGTGTCTCTTTAATACTGTTAACATGAAGCAAACTGGGGCATCACAGATGGATTTTCTCTTTCCAGAATGGCTTCCTGTGAATTACAAAAATTATTTCTCTTGCTAATATGAAAAGTTCCACCACTCCACCACCAGGGCAGAGAGAGACCCTCTGACAAATCTGCTCATGCTGGCCAGGGGATGACAATATCCTGTGACTTGTAGTGGCCAGTAGGATGTCACAAAACCATGTAACTCTCTTCTCGGCTCATTCAGACAGCATTCATTTCTGGCACCAGGCCAGGCTGACCAACATATGCAACACTTCTCTTTGTACAAAGGAATTTCAGATCCCTGCTTCCCTGAGAATTGAGAAGCTAATGCACATTAGCCTCCAAGCACTGAGCCTGCAGGATGGGGTTGGATGACTACAGGGTATATAGGACCACAGTAACAAAATATCACAGTAGGTTGGTGGTGGGGCTTAAATAACAGAATGTGCTGTCTCACCATTCTGGAAACTGGAAGATCCAGATGGCAGCAGGATTGAAGTTTTCTGAGGGCTCCAAGGGAAGATTCTGCCCCAGGCCTCTCTCCTTGGCTTATAGATGGCCATCTTCTCCCTGAATTGCATGCCTTCTTCCTCTTATGCATTCTTGTGCCCTAATGTCTCCCTTTATAAGGATACCAGTCACTTTGGATTGGAGGTTACCCTAATGGCACCACTTAAACTTGATTATCCCTATAAAGATGCTGTCTACCAGTAAGGCCACAATGTGAGGTACTAGAGATTAGGACTCCAACCTACAAAGGGTAAAGGACAATTCAATCTATGATCAAGGGGTTGGTATCACTATAGGAGAGTTGGCAGAGGAAGCTGGCTGGGGTAAGGGTCAGGCAGGAGAAACAGGTAATATAAAATGAACCTGAAAAGCTAGCTGGAAACCAAATCCTCCAGCAATTTGAATGATATCCATTGAACATCTGTATGTCTATATGTATTATATGTCATCAGCACAAGGCTAAGGGAATTCAGAGATAAGTAAGGTATGGTCACCGTCCTTAGGGAGCTGCTAGTCTAGCTAATTCAACTTTGTGAGATGTGGAGTGATGGAGACAGAGCACAGAGAAGAAGAGCCTCACACCCAGGACTGCCTGGCATTGACCAGGAGAGACTGGGCAAGAACACCCCGAAGTTCCAAAGCAACAAATTGGGCCACAGAGAGGAAGAACAGCCATGGAGGCCATGCCTTCCTTGATATTATTCAAACCACATGAAGAAAACTTATTTGTCTGTTCTCCCACTTCATGGAGCATTGTGTGATATTACCAGAACACAGGCTCTGCAGAGCTCTTTATGAGAGGTGGCATGAAGAGAAAGCAAGTCAGAACCTGGTCCATGGAGGTTATGTTCTGAGAGGAGAAAACACACATGTGCATGAGAGGAGAAGATACGGGGTCTGAAGAGAAAAATCATACAGAATGATAGGCGAGAATGTCAGAGAATGACAGTGGTGCTCATTTCCTGGGGCTTCAGTGACAAATGACCACAGACAGCTCTAGAGGCTGAAATTCCAAAACTGAGGAATGAGCAAGGTTGGTCCCCCCTGAAGGCTTTGAGGGAGAGTCTGTTCCAGGCACTTTTCTTTCCAGCATCTGAGCTGGGCAGGGCATTCCAGTAAGGCATTCCTTTAAGAAGGGTAAAAGTCCAGAGACACAAATTATCTATCCACACACCGAAGAAAGCAGCTATGTTGGAGGAGGGGCTGAGCTGGATTCTGCATCTGACCTCCATCATGGCTCCATCCTTCATGACCCACATCATGACCTCCATCATAACCAGTGATGGCCAACCTTTTGGCGATCAAGTGCCAAACTGCAACCTAAATCCGTTGATTTATCTCAGATGCCAACACTGTAATTAAACCTGAATACTGAGGTTTTAGTTTAGAAAAAACAGCTCTATATTGACATCTTTTGTCTTAAAAGAAAAACACAATAACACACCTGCCTTTGGTTGGTCACCACTGATTATGACCATGATCATTGCCATTACCTACCACTGAGTCAAGCACCACAACAAAAATGGTGAACAAGGAATTCACTTTGCCTCCATTCCTGCAAAGAAATTCCAGCCTGGCCTAACTCAGAGTTGTTTTGTCCAAATTCCCTAGAAACAGTTACACCCAGGCAGTCTATTTTTATCTATTTTGGATGAAAATATCCAAAAAGACGAGCAGGTCCCAGGCATAAAGCATCTCCCTACACCTCAACTTAGTGCTTGTAGAGTGGGAAGGCATTATTTCTACTAGGAAAATATTTCTACTAGGAAAATAAACCTGGCCTGTTTAGGAGACTGCAACAATTAACTGAGAGCTAATGAAGGGGTTGGATAATAATCCTTAGCTCAGTTTTTTGAGGAGGAACAATTAAAGTCTGTATGATCTTTAACAGAGAGCCCAAACTACAGGAAGGCCTCAGAAATGGTAGAAAGTGAAAACCAGAAAGGTTTGGGAAAGTCTTGGGAAATTACAAGTGAGAACTTTACATTCAATCTCTTCACTAGAAGATTTGGAAATACTAGTCCCAAACAAGGTACCAGAAAAGGTATGAGAATGGAACAGCACAGTGTGACCTCTCACAAAAGGCCTTAGTAATTTCTATTTCACCCTATTTCTAATGTAAGATATCCATCAGCTGATCCTATATCCATCAGTTAATGAAAATTGATACCACAAAAATCAGCAAGAGTATATTTTGTGCCAGATTAAAGCCAAAGGCC